ACAAAATTTTAATATTTGGTGGCATAACATTATTCACAATTCAATTTAAATTATAGAGCAAAGGCCAAGTAAATATCTACATTTTTAAATACAATCGTTTATAAAGCATAAACTAAGTAAAATTTTACTTTCATACATCAATAATAAATTTAAATAAACAGGTTTTTGCAACTATCAAGCTGGTGACATATAAAAAAAAAAAAAAAATTGAAGCAGCGCAAAAGCAAACACCAAGACAATTGACAGGGGTTATACAAAATCGGATAACGGGGAAAATAAAGTAATAAAGGTAAAAGTAGAATAAATAAATGTATATAGAAGGAAATGGTAAGAGCGTGTGGTAATATGCAGAAATGTAATTAATTCGTAAAACCAAGATGGCGACGACGATAGTGCCTTAATTATTTTTATACTAGATAATATCTACGATTAATATAACGACTTTTACGACAAGAACAATTCGTAACCGAATGGAAAAAAGTACGTATTGGTTATTGATATTTTCTCCCTTTTATCCTGAGAAAATACAGTAATATAAAAGTTGTTAATCTCATCTGTCGCTATGTAAACGAAACCAAATGAGAAGCGAAGCGTTAAAAATGCATTACGAAAATTGCCTCGAAAAATTAATCAAGATATTTTTAATATCAAAAATTGTTCTCTAAATAACTGGACAACTTATTTTAGAACATTTGTAGCCTTTCTCAAGTTTAACTATTTAAATGTACTGTACATTGCAGTATGCTAAACATAATTTAACAGCTTGAGATAACATGCTAACCCAGTATAAGTTAAAAAGTTCTAATCTATGAACCTAAAATAATAAAGGTTTTTTATTTAAACACAGTGCCAGGGGTAAACTGGCGATTGAAATCGGCCAGAAAACGCCCACAAATCCTTTTTTTCAAATGATTAGAACCAAATTAATATGCCTCATTTTCCTTAATTTATTGTAATCTTATTTCGTCCACTTATTAATAGTAGATACGTACTAGTGGACGAAAGAAGATTACGATTAGAACCAAAATTATGTTGTTGCATTTTTCTTACTAATTCAGAAAACGATAGAAAATATAAAAGAAGTTCAATTGCACATTCTAATTATTATTTAATTTCACAAAAATACTGGTCTGCAAGGATTTAGAACGAACATGAAAAAAAAAAGAATGAACAAGAAGATTAGAGGCACTGAACTAAACATTCTTCTAGAAAAAGAAAGTCTTACTCTATTATAATTGTATATTCAATTAGATGGAAACATTTAATATGATAAAGTACAGTACTACAAATTCAATTTTGATTTTGTTCTGGAAAAAAAAAATTTCAATAAAATAATCTCAAACAACGAAGTCTTTGTGACTTTTGTTTTGGATTGCTTTATTAGTCCAGTTAAATTCTCCTTATTTAAAAATGTAAGAGAATTCTTATTTTATTATTATAAAAAGGTAATAAAACCATTTAAATTTCTTATAATTGCATTTGTAACTAAAAATTTTCATGTTCTTTCTTTAATTCAATGTTGTTAGTCATTTTACAATTATATTATTCAATATTCAACATGTATTCAAAACTGATGGTAAATCAAGGCCAGGTTCCTCCCAGATTATTTGGAAGCTAAAATTTTTTTAAAAATATTTTGTTATTTCTAACCTTGAGCAAAGATTTCTCAGTGCAGGTTAACACAAAGCCGGAGATAACAATGCCATTTCTACTGTGATATTCTGCTTTAATTGAGTTAATGTCCTCGGCTTATTTTCGTACACCCTCTCTTTAAGAAATTCCCATAAGAAATAGTTCGAGGATTGGGTCTGGACTGCGTGGTGCCAGTTATCATCACCTCTTTGCGAAATCAACTTATTGGAGAATAACTCCTTTACGGCTTCAACTGATTCATTTGATGTGTGACAAATGGCGTAATCTTGTTGAAACCATATTCTTGTATTGAAGCCGTCATTGTTCTTGTATTATATTAAGAAAAAATTAAATTTTCTTTTTTGTAAAAACTTTTTGGAGGGATGTTAGATTCGCGTTTAAGAGGAAATAATTATTTCATACAAAAAATAAATTTTTTGTGCATTTCTTAGTTGCATTTGAATCGGAACATGGGTAGCGAAGGAGTTAAGAAAGGTAGCTTTTAAAAATTGCCTTATATTTTACAATACCCGGAGGAAAAAGACATATCCTTACGACCACAAAATATTGATAACCCTGTTTAATCCTGCCGTGGTTGAAACTATTTAGGACTAAGGAAAACGGTAGAACATTTCTTACATTAGTCTAAGACTTGTAAAAATTAAATAAAATGATATACGTTACAAGCTGAAAAATTAAAAGGTAACTTTTAACTAATTTAAAGGTAACTCTTAATATTTAGCTCTCACCATTTCGAGGTGCAATATATTAACGTACTGTAGACTACATTTAATAGGAAAGTTTCAAAAATTAGTAAATTCATTAACTCTGATGTAGTTTATTGCACGGAAGAAATAATTTGATAGAAAAGAAAGTGACTCGTCAACTTGACACTCTTTCGGGTCTTCCTAAACAATGAGCGCAACAAATTAGCCACCTCTTCAAATTCATTGCGATACTTATCCGCTTTTGGGATTGGGATTGGATTATTAGAAGTTCTCGATGTGTCACTGTCTCTTCTTTCATTTACAAGAAATATTTTTAGACAACAATAGGGTGTCCCCTTGGTAGCGGGTTAAAATACTGGAGGAAATAATTCTACGTTCATTCGTGCCTGAATTTTTGTTTACTGAAGACGCGTATACGACATCCTAATAATTTGGAATAAATAGGGAAACACCATCGTTGATAGATTCGTCAATAACAGCAGATCTAAATCCATTGTGTCTCTGTCTCAAGCTGAAACAAAGAAAACAGGACTTCTGTTCACTTCCGCGATAATGATAGCCTCGCGAACGGACAGATCTGTACGAAAGTATCTGAAACAAACCTTCCTATTCTACATCCTAGTTCAATTCTCATGATCCACAAGCTCACAAAATTTCAAAGGAAACACACACCCATTGCTTAGTTACTAGTGCATTGTCATGTATACCGATGACTAGTATTAATACGACAGCCTCGACGGAATTATGGTAAAACCAACATCTCTGGGACATAAGAGAAAATTGATAAGTAACCTAACCCAAACCTTTCATTCTCATAAATCGCACTAATTCTTTAAAACAAGGTGTTTACATAACTTATTCCAACATACTAGCTAAGATGCATAAAGAAACAGCCTAGAAATTCCAGATGATATACAATGCAAACGTAATCCTGCAATATACACCACACTAAGAAATAAGGACGAAGTCCCTATGGCACAAAAACAAATGTGTACGTTATACCAGCTAGGACGAACAGTATTTACTCGAACGTTGCCCACATTGAGTACACAAAATAGGAACTTCTCCCCAAAGATTTTATGAACATAAATACGAATCATGACTAATTACTTTCGCAGATACTAACGATTTTGAAATAATATGGGATAACTACGAACAGAGGACAGAGATATTCAAACAAACTAACAGGGGGACGCTTAAAAGCAAAGAGCGCCAATTCTCTCGCCCCGCATGGAAATACGCTTAAATTAACAAGACGTTATTATTTTTAAATTGTAACATCTTGTAATTTGATAATTTTTACAATTATTTACTTGTTTATGTTCATTTTGTTTAAATATTCGTAAATACTTTCGTGGTTGAACAATGCGCGTTTAAAAATCTCATCGTAGTTTAGATAGCCTATACCCTACGATATTTGAATAAAAAGAATACAGACTCCGATAGTGTATCATTATATATAATTCTATATGCTCTTACAAATATTATGAGATAAAAGTTAATAGTTAAGGATATTTTTACAAAAGGCATAATATATTTGGCGAAAGAAATAGTGCTACCAAATGGGCGAAAAGATACCAAAGTTGTTCAATTTTTTTCTGTTCCAAACAAAATACGGCTACACGATGAAGTTTGGAAGAACATCCGACTTACATCACTGCGATATCTGATTACGGTGGTCAAGGAACGTGTATACGAAACAAAACGTTGCTATATTAGTGACATTAAAGCGCGTATATTACAGGTTATTCACACTACACCGCGAGAAATGTTAGGAGGAGTTATGCACTCAATGGTGGAGCTACTGTTGTATACATTAACAAAGGATCACAGGATGGAGGAGTATTACTTTATATGAAAATGAATAATAAAAGCAGTTACTATTTAAGTCATACAGTGTTGGTGAAAATTGTACATTATTTTATTTGACAAATCTGGAAGAATAACTGCAATTACGCTTACGTTTAGTATAAATGTAAGAAAAGATTTTTCTAATAATCGTCATTTTTCCAATATTCTAATTTCACAATTTGTACGGTCGTTCATTTAAATTTTACGAAACTTGCGCAATTACATGACATTTTTTTTCTGTCGAAAAGTGCCAAAGACTGCGAAAATTAACCATTGCAACAATGATTTAACGTTCTTAAAAATTATTCACGATTTTATTAAAGTGACTTCTCAAAAATCAGTGAGACATTCAGATTTTTAATAAATTACTGACAGAACGGACGTGAGAAGGAAAGACGAGCAAAAGAAGAATTAAATAATTATGTATTTTTATAATTAAGAAATGTTATAAAAAATTGCATAAAAGTTCTAACGAATGTAATAATTTATTAATGAAAAGGAATTGAAAAGCGGGTGAAGAATATAATACAAGGAAAACAATTCAGTAACTAACGACAATAAAGAAAATATCGGTCAAGTGGCGACATAAAAAGAATATGGAGGTTGCTTCACGTCCTGAATTCCCACTTATAAAATCCGGTTTTTATCCAACAGGTTTTTTTTTACAGTTTTAACAATTGTAGGCGTAGTCATTTTCTGTGCGTATTTTTCACCATATTTTAAGGAAACAATTCACTTTATAGTGTGACGATAAGTCATCTCGATAGGATATAGTAAATAATGACTTACTTCCTTCTTCCCGATCTTGTAAGGGACGAAAGAAACACCCACTTCGCTTTCTTTCGGGAGAGCTTCATCTTTTAGGCTTTCGATCTGAAATAAAAGAGAATAAAATTTAAATTATTTAGAAAAATTCGGATTTATTTAAAACTTCGAATGGGTTCTTGTAAAGAAAAACTCGGAGAAGGATGAAGCGCGGAGTTGGAAGAAGAGACTCGTACGAAAGATACGGTTCGAATCAAAAGAAAAATGAATTGTGGGATAAAAGAGTAAGTACTACAAGTTAGTAAGTGAAATAAAAGAGACAGAATGATAGAAAAAGATAAACGAATCCCGTGGAAGAGCGTAATTAGAAGAAAGATCGGCACAATGTAAGGCGGAAGTGAATAGAACAAGAATGGAAAAATAAGAAGAAAATAATAGAGCTAACTATTTTCTAATCATTTTTATAATTTTTAGAATTAAATGAGTTAACTTTCTACGTTTCTACCCTCGTAACTTTTAATAACGTGTCTAAATTAGTTATTTTAAAATATAATGCTGTTTATCTTCATTATTAAAACTTCTATAAAAACTACTCCGACTCTTTTATAAATAAAATAAAAAGTATTTTCCAAGATAGAAAATAAGCTACAAGAAAGAATGTCTCTTTCCAATTATGAAATATTACGAGACCTTAGAACGAAAAATAAAAATAGAAAGAACGAAAATGGAAGAAACTTCCAAGGAAAAGTAAAAATCGCGGATTTCAAAACTAAAAAAATGTAGAAAGAAAATAGGAGAAATATTTTCCGTCTCTTCCGAGTTTAAAATAGAGAAAATGGAATGAAAGAAACGGTCGAGATAATTAAAAGAACAACGTGGTACCGGATGACCTATAAAAATTCGAACTTAAAAGCAAACACTTGCTTCTAATGATTGGTTGATTAGGGAGAGAAGAGAGAGAAATTGGCACGCTTCATTGTGGGTTGGGTTGGGGCTTTAAAAGCAACGCAATCCGTGGGATATCTGACAAGAAGATGCCTCCCCTTTTTATAAGAAACTGGCTCCTATTTAGGTGTTAGACACGTGAAGAAAACACCGAAAACAACCAGCCTGTTAGGCGCGAACCCGCGATTAACTTCGTTGTATTTCGTCCGCTAGTGAGAAGTGTAATGAACCCAGTGAATTGAATGGGAGATATCCCCGTTCCTTCTTTTCTCCGATCGAGTTATTGGAATGGTTCTAATTGTCCAGTTGTAAAGAAAAAACAAACGTGCTTAAAAAATGCCGTAAGTTAGTGTTTCGAATATCACCCGTAATTTCGTAATCGCATCTACACCACCCGGCTCCCTTTCCGAGTCAATCGACCACGCTTCCGGTCTCGGCTGGGTTATTTAGGAACGGAAAGAGTATAATGCGGCGGTGTAGCGAGACAGGAACAAAAGTGGCATACGCCCCGGGCGCTAAATGAGAAAAAGCGTTACTAACTCTATTAACAGTCAATAGATCATTATACATTTTAGGCTAATATCAACATTGCAAATGCTAAAAAACGGTTTTAGTTATCATAAACTGCGTTTAAACTTGCGTAATACATATTTTCTCCTGGTACGGTAAATCTACGATAAGCATCTATATATAATTTTAAAAAATTAAAAAAATAATTCCTTTTATTGGTCATGTTTTTGAGATTGGGAGTGGGGGATGGTGGAAGTAGAGCCATTCACCGCTACAGCGCATTCATACACTCAAATAATTAAATTCTACAAGTGGTTATTTTTTATCGGGTTTCGGGGTGGGATAGATGGTAGAGGGTTACCCCACCTCCACCGTTCTGTTCAGTTTAAATAGACCTTCGTGTGTCTAAGTAGGGACCAGTTTCCCATCATAAAAGTCCTCCCGAGAGATAGTTTCTGCATGTGACGCATTGCCGTATTCCGCTAAACCTAAACCTTTTCCTCTCCAGGACTATAAAAAGGCCGGAAATATCGACATTCTCCCGTCAAGGGAAAAAAATGCGCGTTAACGATTCGGACTTACGACGAAAACTTGGCCAAGGACGAATGTTTCAGCGTTTTATGCCGAAATAGAAGAACAATAGAATTTACTTATGAAATTCTATTCAAATTCGAGGCATGTTTTGCGCGTTATTTCTTTTATTACGTCGTTGGCAATAGAAAAGGTAAAAGTGGGCGCTTTCAATTCTCATTCGGCGAAGGAGAACGCCGAATCAACCGTACAATTTGTGGTCGTAAGGGCGTCGACGAAAACAAATCCTATTTAGAAGAGGGGCGAGGCATAAGGCCCACTGGCAACTGCGGAATTGGAAGGATCGAACGAGATCGAAGACAGAGGCGATTGACGACGCTGAAAAGATAGGAAAAAACTGAACTCCGACCTTTCTGAGAGAAGATTCGGAAACTCCTCCCCCGTCCAGATTTGCTTCCTTTAAGTCGAAAGAGAACAAAGCGGAACATTAAGAGGCAATAAGGTTGCGTTCGAATCTTGTTGAACCAGACAAACTTCCGGTCGAGTAATTGAGTTCGACGTTTCCAGATTTCGTTCCTTCCTTCTCTCTCTCTCTCCTATACCGGGTATTAACCTCTCGTTCCATCCCATCGATAGCTGAAAGTTTTGTAATTTCCGAATAACATAGTAAACAATTACAAATACAGCGTGGACAGAGAACGAAGCGTTGGAAGCGAGCGGGGTTTTCAATCACTACTTTTATTAAATGGCCGACATTCGAACCGCCGGATAAAGGTTTTTAAATTCGTTAAATATTCATATTATGCACGGAAAAACACAACCTTGTGTCGACATCGTTAATAATTATAATATTCCACCGTCATTATCGCCACAGAATAAATTTTTATTTATAGTCGGGAGGGGTATAAGCGTTTGGCGTGACGAGTTCGAACGAGAGGAGGAAGTATCATCGCGGTACAGGTAGAATGTTTCTATTTACTAAAAAGTAAATAGAAACATTCTACATAAAACATTCTACATAAATAACATTCTTTTTCGGATTTTAAAACATAAAATGAAAATTACTGATTTTTATTTTCAGAAAACTGATTGACGGCCTAAAGTTATTTACAGTTTATCAAAAACTACTTACTTCTTAAATTATACCGTAACACAAAGCTACACGTCGGCAATGTAGCTGTATAATTTCGTAGATGATGCTGTAATTTATTTATTACACGCGTATTTGTTTCTATTTCTGTAATTGAATTGTATGTATGCGAATACCTCATATAATACACTCGCTTTGTAGCTTTTAACCCGATTCGAATTAGACAAAGCGTAAAGTTGTATAAGGTGACTATTCTCTTTTGTACGCATTTTGGTGTAAATTCGAGGATGACGTTAACTATTCGAAACGAACTAGAAAGAGAAAGTCATTCCGAGCGAGCTTAGTTATAAATAAACCCTACCCGAACGTAACAATCTAAATGTCACTCTACATAAAAACGTCACGGATTGCCGGGCCAACACTAATGATAATGTTTCCGACCGTCTGGTTTTTAACACGAGACTTCACTTTCTTCCTAATAACGGTTAAGTCGAGTGGAGTTACGTCGTCTTCGTTTCGTTATAAACTTTAAATAGAACCGGATGTTGGAGGGTATTTTTTTAAATGAAGTTTTACCTCGTCTTCGACGTCTTCGTTTTGAGATCCGGACGACTTGTATCCGGAATCCAAGATCTCGTTCAATTCTTTGGAATTTTCCACAGTTTCGGGTGAATCGACTGCTCCATTGTCTACGGAATTGTTACTTTCTTCCGACATTTTAGCACAGGAGCGACGTTGCTGGGAGAGTCGGGTACTTGGATACTTTCGTCGAACGGGGGCGTTTTAAACACGTGATAGCGCCGGGGGTGGAAACGTACACGTCATTACGTACACATAATAGCGCTGTTTCGGTGAATAAGTAAGAACTTTAGTCACTCGGCCTACTTGTTGAGATTACTAATGTCAAATATCGTTAGCAATTAAAAAAAATATTTGATGTATTAAAAAGCGGTTCCAATCTTCTAACCGAGATCAAACGATGATTGCCGAACCGTAATTACAGGCTCGACATGCCTTTACCAACTTCTTCGTTAAGTTTTTAAATTTTTTTAGACATGGAAATCTATTGGCGAGGATATAAATTTACATGTATTTATCCTTAAGAAAAATTCGTTTACGTATCGCATTTTACGTTACTTATACCTGTGGGAAGCGAGCGCTTCGTCACGACAGTTTAAATATGTTCGGACGAACGTAATTTAGAAGATTTGCAGCAATACAAATGTAATTTTTTAAACGAAATCGATTTAATGACATAACAAAACGTACGTAACAGTTACTAATTACTGAATTAATTTCCCCGTCGTTATAACTGTTACACTTGTAATATAGTTAAAGCTACGAGTAACTTCTGTAAACGACAGGTTGATACGAGGTAGTGGATAAACCAACAGACAATCGAATTATCGTAATGAAGAATTTAAGCGTAACGTAGAAATTACAAAGGTAGTTTATAAACGAAATAATATTTTAATGATCAGAGGTTCAAAGCCGTCGTTTCTCGTATTATTTCGTAAGAAAGGTTTCTTTCAAACGATAACAATAGCTTCCGGTTGTATATAAATTATACCAGACCAAGATAAAACAGTAATTATGTTTAGTCACGCGTTAATTTAAATTATCTTAGAATAAATGTTGACATTCTTAAGAAAAAGTTATGCATTAAAGATACGAAGTTTTGAAGAAGTTAGCCTGTCGTTTCTATTTTTGTGTAGCCTATTGACAATTATTTCGTTAAAAATGATTGTTTTTAACGAAAATCTAACAATGTAGGCTTATTGAGTTTTACAGTCGAATCTCCAACAACGGCAACTTTTTATGTTCCCGTCAATGGCCATTGTCGAGAGGTTTGACTATATAGGTAACGAGTCCAGGCCCTGTATTATACACGAGGATTTGGCTTTGTATTTACTCTTTCTGTCTTGTGGGCATTGAGAGGCTTTTTATCAATGTTCGATCCAGTTCGTGGGTTCGATCGGGCCCAAAAAGGGCGGCCGGCGATGGGAACGGAACCCAATGGGCCGATTGCAGA